ACTGCCTTGCAGCGGCAACTACGACCTTCAAGCAGTCAAGTGACTTCAACACAGGCGAACCCGACGACTCAGGTCCAAGCCTCAACTTCACCGGGACAACCTGCACAAGGAGCAAGAAACATCATCAGCTGCATGGCAAGACTGAGCGAATCCTGCATCACCGAGTCACCGCCACATTACTCACCAGAAGACCATCTCGATAACACCACACCTCGCCACGAAGCACTCAAACCAAATCCAACGTACGCCACCATCGCCCAAAGCGAGCCTTCAGGGACAGACACGTGGTTCTTGGACAGCTGTTGCGGACAGCACATGTGCTCTTCAGGACGCTTCGTACAACAAGAATACCAGCTTCAATGGGAAGTCGTCATAACCGTCGCCAACAACCAGAACCTGCGCACACGACGGCAAGGAATCGTACAACTTTAGTCGCGAGAGACAAACGTCATACTACAGATGTCAAAGGTTTTAATTGCACAAGGCCTCGGCTACAACTAACTGAGTGTCAGTCAGCTGATGGCAAAAGGTATTCACCTCGAAGCAGACAGCACCATCCATGAGTTCAAGTTGTATCATGGGAGAGGAGGTCTCTACATTGGGAAGGCGGTCCTCAAGAACAACGTCTTCGTCTTGGACTTCGTTCCCGATCTTGGCACCGCCGACAGTGACGCCATAGTTAACTTCACCAACTGGACACACCCTCCGGACCTTGACCCTGACTTCAGTCCGGGCGGCTTCTGGTATTCGTATACCATCCCTGAGACAGAGCGAACAAGGGCATTAGCAACAACATCGGCAGCAGCAGAGACAACATCGGGAGCAACAGGAACAACATCGGCAGCAGCAGAGACAACATCGGGAGCAGCAGGAACAACATCGGCAACAGCAGAGACAACAACGGCACCAACAACAACACCAGTCGCTAGTCCTTCAACGGCACCAGTCCTCGTTGACGACGCATCACCGACACCTGCACAACAGTTTCAGCCAGCACCACGAGAGTTTCATCACAGCCCCAACTTAACCACCAGCTTCTACTCCAGCTCGGATCTGTACCGACGATCACCCGGACACCGTGCCGACGAAGCAACCTGGCACGCAAGAATGGGACATCCAAGCAACACAGTGTTAAACAACACCATACGAGCAGGAGTGCTTGACAAAGACTCACTCCTATTAACCAACGGACAAGAACTCCAACGCGTACGCGGCACATGCTTCACCTGCCCAGAAGGAGACCTACCTCATCAACCGTTCCCATCGCACCACAACCCAAGTGCACCAGCTTACACACCACTCAAAAAGGTGTACAGCGACATCCTGTACAACCGTGAACCAAGGCAGAATACGTACCTCTACACGATTACCTTCATCGACGCCGCAACACGCTACGTCTGGCACCTGAATCTCCCAAGCAAAGATATGGCGTTCGAGGCGTTCGTCGCGTGGCTTCCCGTAGTAGAGCGGGAATCGGGCGTCAAGTTAAAAAGCTTCCAAACAGACGAAGGAGGAGAATATACCTCGACGAGGTTCAAGAACTACCTGGCTGAGAAAGGCATCAAGCGCCTCATCTCCCTTCCTTACGCCCATCAACAACAGGGTGTAGCAGAAAGGCTGAACAGGACCCTCCAAAACACCATGCGGAAACTGTTACGTGGCATGCGGCTTCCCAACCACCAGTGGCCAGAAGCGATGGACCACGCTGTAATGCTACACAACTTGCTCTCCTCGTCGTCATTCCCGAACAACGCATCACCGCATCTGCTGTGGACCGGGAAATTGGGCAACACAAAAATGTTACGAGTTTTTGGGTGCATGGTACAGTACCGACCACCATCTGCACGGGCCGGCCGATTTTCGCATCGAGCACAGTGGGGGCTACACCTGGGCATCGAAAAACACTACAACGCATGGAAAATCTTCGACGTCCACACAAAGGAAACAGTGGCAGCACGTGACATCATCTTCTACGAACGACTCACCATGCAAACTTATCTTGCCAACCTGGACGAGAACCGAGACCCCACAGGTGGTTTCCGTGGCAACCGAGCCTTCGCATCGGCAGAAGACGAAGCTGACTGGGACGAGCAGAACGTGGAAGGAGCCTCGGAAGCAGCCGGACCACTCCCGTACTGCTCCGTCAACGTCCCCATGGATGACGAAAACCCGCGCGACAGTAACAACGCCGAAATCTACCACCATTTCGCCGACAACGGTTACGTAACACCTGCAAGAGTCAACACCGACGAAGCTGAACGCATAGGACCAAACTTCATACCTGATCCAGAAGAGGGAGACGAAGCAGCCTATCCCGAGGACAACACTCTCCCCGGCACACTCCCCCGCTACACGCAGAGTGGCCTCCAAATCCTTGGACTCGTCACCGCAGTCCATGGCGTCGCCATTCCTAAAGAGCCTGCGACGGTTCAACAGGCTCTGGGGGGGGAACATAGGGAGAAATGGCGTGAAGCCATGGACAAAGAGCTGAAGGCACTGGAGGAGCGCAACACCTGGAAAATCGTTCCCATCGGCGTAGCACAGAACAAGACTATCCTTACCGGGAAGTGGGTCTTCCGTGTGAAGACGAAAGCTGACGGCACCATCGACAAATTCAAAGGTCGTTGGGTTGTGCGCGTCTTTGACCAAGAGCTCGGAAGAGACTACACCGAAACCTTCGCTCCGGTCAGCCGTCACACCTCACTCCGAATCCTCATCGCCATCGCCGCCATGAAGAAAAAGAAACTGCGACAAATCGACGTCGCAAACGCTTTTCTCTACGCACCTGTGGATGCAGAAATCTTCGTCGAGCTCCCGCACGGCTCCCACGGTGAACCCAATCAAGTCTGTCAACTGCTTAAGTCGCTCTACGGGATCAAGCAGGCACCGCGACTGTGGCAGCAGTACCTGCACACCCGCCTTATCCGCATCGGTTTTAAACAACTCCCGCATGACCAGGGCATGTACCGCCTCACAAAGGGAAGCGACTACGTTCTCCTGATCGTCTACGTGGACGATCTCCTCTACATTGGGTCAACCGACGGCATCGCCACGTGGTTCGAAGGGGAGCTGCAGAAGGACCTTACCCTCACCGTCTCATCTACCGTCACGCAATATCTCGGACTCAACATCCGAGAAGGGAAGGACGCAATCTACCTCAGCGCCGAGAAATACGCCGACACCATCGCGAAACGCTTCGGTCTCACACCAAGCGCCCTCTCCACGCCTTACCACTACACGTCAGGAACCGAAAAGGAACGATCTATTCTACTCAAGCCTGCCGGCATACGCGACTATCAGAAGAAGCTCGGGTGTCTTCTCTTCGCAGCAGTCACATGCCGTCCCGACTTATCCTACTCCGCGAGTCAGCTCGCCACCTATCTCAAGAAGCCTGAAGCAGAGCATCTGGCGGAACTCGATCGCGCTCTCCACTACTTCGTCAGCACCGCGACGATCGGACTAACTTATCACAAAAACGCAACTACACCGACCAAGCTAATCGGCTACGTCGACGCCGATCACGCCGGCGACACCGACAATAGGCGCTCACGCACCGGCTATGTCTACCGCCTCGAGCCTATCGGTCCTATCTCCTGGCAGTCGAGTAAGCAGGAGTTAATCGCACTGTCTTCAGCTGAAGCGGAATATATCGCACTCTGCTCAGCCACCAAGGAGGGACTTTACCTTCGTGAACTGCTGGAAGAAGCGAAGTTAGCCGAGTTACCCAGCTTCACCGTGTTCTGCGACAACCAGTCAGCAATTCGCATCGCCAACAAGAACGACTTCGCAAACAGGACGAAACACATTGCCCTGCGCTATTTCTTCGTGAAGGACGAGATCGAGAAGGGGAAACTCGAACTGGCATACTGTCCCACGTCTGAGATGGCAGCCGATTACTTGACCAAGAAGCTCGGAAAGCATAAGTTCGAATACTGCATGCTGCTGACTGGACAGAGCCACGTCACCAGTAGCGACACTCCAGAAGCGAAAGGGAGTGTTGGAAACAATGGAACTTAAACGCTTCAGCAGTGTCAAAACATTGCACCAGAAGCGAGGCAACCTACACCGAAGCACCTGCGAGTCAACCCTCGGAGGTTGAATCGGCTGCAGGAAGTTACGCGAAAGTCAAAGGTCGCTGACCCTTGACCTGACAAGAACAGCGCGACAGTTAAGAACACACAACTGACTCGTTACAGAGCAGTTGCCCGAGTCGCACTGTATCGAACCGCAAGAGCAACAGTAAAAGTAGTTATAACCGTATCTCTTCATATTCCCCGTATTATTATATAAGCGTGTATCCTTTCACTATAATTTAATCTACTTTGCTCTCACACACTAGTGCAAGGTCGGTTCACAAAGCTTCATTAAACGCTTCCGCTATTACAAAGTATCCTACCCAGAGTTATCCTCTGTAAAGATCCTTAGGGCCTTTTCAGCCCAACACAGGGTACCCAAATTTGAAACGTCAGCCCTGCTCATGGACTTCGTGAGTGCTACTTTATTATGTCATTGTACATAACTTACCGGTAGCTCACAAAATAGTAACTGAAACAGGGTTGGCCTAAAACTACCCTGCTCAAATCAGGGTGGTTGATTTACCCTGCTGCAAACAGGGTACGAAAAAAATTACCCTAGGGGTCGGGGTAAGGAGGGGCTGGAACCCTGATTTGTAAGGGTAGGCCTAAACCAATTTTGGGCCCTGGCAGGGATTAACAAACATTTTCTTGAGAATAAAACAAGTCATTTCAGGGGAGGAATGAGCAATTCTAAGTACACTCTGATCGCAAGGGAATAAAATGCATTATATTGTGGCAGGATACGGTAGGTAAGCCTCGTACCCTTGACCATGCTATGAAGCACATACGCAGACAATCCAAACAGTGTGCAACCAAAGCACTATGCTGTGCTGCTGCCCATCCTACCATATCTGGTTACAGAGGAACCACAAATCATAGTATGGTACCTCTATGCACCTCGCAACATGCTGCTATCATGCTATGCTACTCCTGCTGTAATGGTTGAAAGAACCCCCCACCTCCATGCTGTGACAGCGACACTCCCCCTCTGCCCACCCCACTCCCCAACCGCCCATCATCACCACCACCCATCCCAGGACCTTCCTCACCCGGCAAACCAAACTGTGTTCCACCCACTCCCACTCCTCCCAAACCCCCACCACCTCTGCCGCCCCCTCCTCCCACTCCCCCTCCATGAAAACCCCCCATTGCTACACTGAACGCGCCTGACCCCGCACAGCTCCATCCCCTGCTGCCACCTGTCGGGCCTTTTGGCTCCTTGTGCCTGCGTTGCATGTCCAGGAATATCCGGAGGAGCGACGGGCCGTCTAGTGACGATCCGCTTCCGTCTGTGCTGCTGCTGCTGCTGCTGCTGCTGCTGGTGGCGGTGGTGGTGTTGGGAAAGGTATTTGCACTGAATCCGTTCATCATTGTTGCTTCTGCTGCTCCTGCAGCTGTTGCTGGTACGGCCACACCTGCTCCTCCTCCTGCTGCCATTGCGACAGGAGGCACTGCTGCTGCTGGGCCGCCGGACCAGCTGCCTGATCTTACTGCTGCCATGGAGGGTAAATTACCCTGTGAAGAAGTCGTTTGCGAGATTGCTGATCCGTCTGCGGTGTTGGAGTGCACGGCATGTGCAGCAGCAGCTGCAGCAGCGGCTGAAGCAGCGGGGGAAGCAGCAGAAGCAGAGGCAGCAGGGGAGAGGAAGGCGTTGAAAGAAGCACTGCGCATGGCAGCAGCAGCGAGGGGAAACGCTGGACCCGCTGAGGGAATGGCTGGAACAGCAGCAGTGGCAGTGGCAGTGGGAGTGGCGGAAGGAGCAGATGGGCTTTGTCCTGCTCCCATGCGCTCCTCTTGGCTGCTTCCCGTGCCTGCTGCTGCTCCAGCATTACTGCTGAGCGATGGAATGGAAATGGGCTGCGAAGCAGATCCCAATACTGATGCTGAAGCAGAGGAGAGGAGGTGGGAGTGGGGGAGTGGGCCGTAGAGGGAGGAGTGAGGTGGAGGGGAGGAGGAGCGAGAGGAGGGCTTGGAGGAGAAAGAGGCAGGAGCGGAAGAGAGGTGTGGAGGGAGTGTGGTAGGTGCAAAGGAGGCGGTTAGAGGGATTGCTGGGTGAGGCAGGTAGGAGGAGGTGGAGTAGAGTGGGAAGGAGGGGGTGGGGGGAGGAGTGGGGTGGAGCATGGAGGGCGAGGGGACGGTGGAGAGGCGTGTGTGTAGCACTCTGAAGGCCACTCCGTGCTGTGAGGATGGGTGGGAAGGGGTGGGAAGTGGTGAGAAGGGATGGGAAACAGTAGGGAGAAAGAGGGAATCAAAAGGGGAAGGGCGAGGGGACGGCGGAGAGGTGCGTGTGTAGCACTCTAAAGGCCACTCCATGCTGCGAGGAAGATGGGTGGGTGGGAAGGGGTGGGTAGGGGTGAGGAGGGATGAGAAAGGGTAAGGAAGAAAGGGAACAAAAAGGGGAGCATGAAGGAAGGGGGGAAGGTGGAGAGGCGCGTGTGTAGCACTCTGAAGGCCACTCCGTGCTGTGAAGGGAGGCGCAACGGCAGAGGAGGGAGGGGAGAGGGCGGGGAGAGGAGCGAATAAGGGGAGGCATGGATGTGGTGGAAAAATGGGTTTGAAGAAGTGGAGTTTTGAGTGGCCTTCAGAAGAAGCACTCAAAACTCGACTTATAACACACGGCAAGGATGTGTTGGAAAAATGGGAAACAGACAGATGGAAACGGAGACAGGCAAACGAATATGCAGGGAGGCAGAACTTGAAGGAGGGGCGGAAAAGCGAGAGGTAGAGAGGATGTCATTAATCCCCAAGATGTTCCCATAAAGGATGTTCCCATAGAGGATGGCGCAGAGCAGGTTGGTGCAGTGAAAGGGTGCATTGAGAGAGGGTGCATTGAGAGAGGGTGCAGCGAGAGAGGGTGCATTGAGAGAGGGTGCAGCGAGAGAGGGTGCATTGAGAGAGGGTGCATTGAGAGAGGGTGCAGCGAGAGAGGGTGCATTGAGAGAGGGTGCAGCGAGTGTGGGAGTACGTCGTTCTTCACCATAAATTCTATTCCTTCTTGATTTTCCTCGTTTTTAGTAAACCAATTAGAACAGATGTGAGTGGCACACCATGAGCGGCACACCATGAGCGTCACACCATGAGCGTCACACCATGAGCGTCACATACTGCATGTAGAAGCATACCTGTGGCAGCAGCATGAGCAGGCCGTAGAGTGCTTTCAGGAGAGCAGGAGAACGGGAAGGATCCAGCAACTGTTGGGGGGACACGGAGGAGAAGCACAGGTGCTTTGGTGGACCAGGGCCTGATTCGGAAGCACAAGGACGAGCGTGCAAAACTGAGGTAGCTCGTGGAACCGCTTAGGCAACCACAGTAACGCACCATGATGAAGGCATGCAGGCATGATGAAGGCATGGCACCAGGTTGGTGAAATGAAACCCATGATGAGCTTATGATGACATAATGGAAGGCAAGGCACTGACCTGCAGTCTCAATCGGCTGAAAATGGGCGTTTCAAGCAGGAGAACTAGCTTGTCCATCTGCACACACACATGCACACACACATGCACATGCCGATGCACAGAGCGATTTCGTACATACACGCGCAGATGGGCATCACACATGCACACGGGGATGGAAAAAGTAGCAGACCATTTGGTGTCCATAAGTCCGTTATCAATATGGCATGGCACCATGTATGATACAGCACCGCAAAAACCCCGCTGCTGGTGCTGGTGGTGGTGGTGGCGCTGCTGCTATTGCCGGCGGTGCTGGTGCCAATAGTGCTGCTCCTAGTGTTGCTGGTTGCAGTATATCTAAATACCCCTCCCCCGCTCCCTTTGTCACAGCATCCCTGCCACCCACCTGCACCATGAGGCTGAGGGAGAGTTCGCTCTCCTCTAACGCGTCCACTATGCTCCATGCATGCTCGTACGCCTGGGTGCGTGGCAGCGGGTGGCAGTGATGCTATCTATCTGTTCCCCCCTACCCCCTCCCCCCCCCCAACACCTGTCTCCTGCCACACACCTGCACCATGAGGCTAAGGGAGAGGTCGCTCTCCTCTAGAGCATCCACCATGAATTTTGAGGCGCCTCAAAAGACGATGCTCCATGCATGCTCGTACGCCTGGGCCAGTGACAGTGGGTGGCGCTACTATTCATCTCTATCTTCCCCTACACCCCACCCCAGACAGACGCTTCTCTCCACCCACCCACCTGCACCATGAGGCTGAGGGACAGGTCGCTCTCCTCTAACGCGTCCACGATGCACCACGCATGCTCGTACGCCTGGGCCAGCAGGCACAGGCTCACTGCAGCGATGGGCGAGTGGCACCATGCCGGGTACAGCGCCAGGAACAGCCCCCTCCCACTGCACGCTGCCGCTGCTGCTGATGTTGTTGTTGCTGGTGCTGATGGTGCTGTTGTGGGTGCACTGCCCGTGGCAGCAACTCCTGATCCTCCCACTCCGCTTCCGCCCCCACCCCCACCCCCACCGCCACCTCCACCCTCACTCGCAAGCATAGACGGGGAGGGGGCGGAGGAGGGAGAGGGAGAGAAGGAGGACCCTGCACCATCTGCTGCAGCAGCCGCAGCAGAAGCAGCAGAAGCAGCAGAAGCAAGATGACTAGCAGCAGCGGCAGAAGCAGCATGAGCAGCAGCAGCGGCAGAGAAAGAGGGTTGAGCCATCACAGCAGCGGGCGCAGGAGCAGGAGCAGCGGCGAAGGAGCGACGGAGCTTGGAGCGGATGGGGGCGAGCTCGGGGGCAGTGAGGAGGATGAGGGAGAGCGTTGGCACGATAGTGGCGGCGAACTGACAGTCGGACTCGTTCTGTAGAATGAAGGCTAGCTCTCTGAGGACTTTATCAGCGTCCAGCATGGCACACAGGTGCCGAATAATGATGCTGCCACGCCTGTGTGTGGAGAAGAGAGGAAGGGGTGGGAAAAAAAATAGCAGCTTGTCAGAGTGAGGATGGGGAAAGGGGAGGGAGTCGGGCGAAAGGGGAGGAGTGGTGAGGAGGATGAGGGAGAGCGTGGGCACGATGGTGGCGGCGAACTGACAGTCAGACTCGTTCTGAAGAATGAAGGCCAGCTCCCTGAGGACTTTATCAGCGTCTAGCATGGCGCAGAGATGGCGGATGATGATGCTGCCCCGCCTGGATGGGTGGTGGAGAGGGGGAGGGGAAGGGTTGGAGTTGGGAGAATATGTGAGGTTGTACGGCAACTCGGGCATTCTGGTAACTTTTGAGTCGACTCAAAAGGCATTCGGGCATTGTGGTAACTTTTGAGTCGACTCAAAAGGCATTCGGGCATTGTGGTAACTTTTGAGTCGACTCAAAAGGCATTCGGGCATTGTGGTAACTTTTGAGTCGACTCAAAAGGCATTCGGGCATTGTGGTAACTTTTGAGTCGACTCAAAAGGCATTCGGGCATTGTGGTAACTTTTGAGTCGACTCAAAAGGCATTCGGGCATTGTGGTAACTTTTGAGTCGACTCAAAAGGCATTCGGGCATTGTGGTAACTTTTGAGTCGACTCAAAAGGCATTCGGGCATTGTGGTAACTTTTGAGTCGACTCAAAAGGCATTCGGGCATTGTGGTAACTTTTGAGTCGACTCAAAAGGCATTCGGGCATTGTGGTAACTTTTGAGTCGACTCAAAAGGCATTCGGGCATTGTGGTAACTTTTGAGTCGACTCAAAAGGCATTCGGGCATTGTGGTAACTTTTGAGTCGACTCAAAAGGCATTCGGGCATTGTGGTAACTTTTGAGTCGACTCAAAAGGCATTCGGGCATTGTGGTAACTTTTGAGTCGACTCAAAAGGCATTCGGGCATTGTGGTAACTTTTGAGTCGACTCAAAAGGCATTCGGGCATTGTGGTAACTTTTGAGTCGACTCAAAAGGCATTCGGGCATTGTGGTAACTTTTGAGTCGACTCAAAAGGCATTCGGGCATTGTGGTAACTTTTGAGTCGACTCAAAAGGCATTCGGGCATTGTGGTAACTTTTGAGTCGACTCAAAAGGCATTCGGGCATTGTGGTAACTTTTGAGTCGACTCAAAAGGCATTCGGGCATTGTGGTAACTTTTGAGTCGACTCAAAAGGCATTCGGGCATTGTGGTAACTTTTGAGTCGACTCAAAAGGCATTCGGGCATTGTGGTAACTTTTGAGTCGACTCAAAAGGCATTCGGGCATTGTGGTAACTTTTGAGTCGACTCAAAAGGCATTCGGGCATTGTGGTAACTTTTGAGTCGACTCAAAAGGCATTCGGGCATTGTGGTAACTTTTGAGTCGACTCAAAAGGCATTCGGGCATTGTGGTAACTTTTGAGTCGACTCAAAAGGCATTCGGGCATTGTGGTAACTTTTGAGTTGACTCAAAAGGCATTCGGGCATTGTGGTAACTTTTGAGTCGACTCAAAAGGCATTCGGGCATTGTGGTAACTTTTGAGTCGACTCAAAAGGCATTCGGGCATTGTGGTAACTCGCAGTCTGACTCGTTCTGCAGGATGAATGCGAGTTCTCGGAGGACTTTATCAGCGTCTAGCATGGCGCAGAGGTGGCGGATGATGATGCTGCCTCGTCTGTGCGGGTAGAGGGGGGAGATGGGAAAAAGGAGAGAGGCGGGGTGACTTTTGAGTCGACTCAATAGTCATGATGATGATGCCTCGTCTGTGCAGGTAGAGCTGGGCGTTGGAAAAAGGAGAGAGGCGACGAGGAGGACGAGGCTGAAGGTGGGTGCAGTTCGAGTGTAATAGCAGCAGCAGCAGCAGCCGCCGAAGCAGCCACAGCAGCAGGAGCAGCAGCAGGAGCAGCTAAGACCAAAAGGAGAAGTACGGGAGGCTAGGAGAGTGTGCCGTGAATTGCACGTATCAAGGAGGCTGCTGTCAGAGTTGAATTGCAGGAGGAGAAGCAGCAAGAAAAGAGGAGAGGATGAGAGACGATCAAGGACCAGGAGAGCATGCAGAGAGAGGGAAAGCAAGCAGAGTGGGGGAGCATGCAGAGAGAGGGAAAGCAAGCAGAGTGGGGGAGCATGCAGAGAGAGGGAAAGCAAGCAGAGTGGGGGAGCATGCAGAGAGAGGGAAAGCAAGCAGAGTGGGGGAGCATGCAGAGAGGAGAGAGGGCACCTGTCAAGGAGGGCATGGTCGGATTTGAAGCACAGGAGGAGGAGCAGCAGCAAGAGAAGAGGGAGAGGCTGAAACATGAGTAAGGACCATGAGAGCATTCAGAGAATGGGAGAGCATGCAGAGAAGGAGCACCTGTCAAGGAGGGCGCGGTCGGAGTTGAAGCGCAGGAGGAGGAGCAGCAGCAGGCGGTGGAAGTGGTGCGGGTGGCTGGCCACTGTGGCCTGCACTGACAGCGCCCCTAGCACCACCTGTGATAAGATGGGTGCATAGTGGGATGATTATTGCACGAATTGGGAGAGAAGAGAGAGAGAGGCTTAGCCATAGTGGAAGTTGCGGGGATGGCTGGCAAAAGGGGACCAAAAGAGAGGCTAGGATTCAAATCTGCCAACCAGCCACGCATGCAGGCAATAGGATCGCACAAAATTCATATCGCACGGAGTTCCGCCATTAACTTAAACCTTACACTAATTCATAAATCATGTGTGCATGGCACCGCACTGCACTGCACTGCACACCTGGTCTGAGTCGTCTGCCAGCGCCGCAAGCAAGGACTCGAGAAGAGCAGTGGATGGATCATCCATGAGGTTCAGGAGCTGGGGGGGGGGGGATGTGAGGAGGGCAGGCGGGGCGGATGGGTGGGGAAGGGGAACAACTAAGAGAGGTTTGGAAGACTTGAGAAGAGCAGGGGATGGATCGTCCATGAGGTCTAGGAGCTGAGGGGGGGAGGGAGGGGGGGAGGAGGGCAGGCGGAGCACTTGGTTGAGAAGGCGGAACATAAGGCTTAAGAAGCACGATGCAAGCAACTTGAGAAAAGCAGTGGATGGATCGTCCATGAGGTCTAGGAGCAGTGGGGGGGAGTGTGAGGAGGGCAGGCGGATGAGAAGGCGAAACAGTAAACCTGAGAAACAGGAAGCAAGTGGAGGGATTGTCCATGTGGTGAAAGAGACGTGAGGGGAAGGAGAGGAGTTGAGGAAAGAAAACGTGAAATCAGACCAAGCAACCCACTTACTGTGAAAATCAGGTCAAATTACCCCAACTGGTGTGAGAACGCAAACAATTCAGCTCACCTGGTGTGGGAAGCGGTGCAGAAGGGTGGCAATCCATGCAAGCGCCTCCAGCCTTGTGGCCTCCCAGCTGCTGCTCAGCTCCCTGCGCTACCCATGAGCAGCAATAACCACAAACAGCAGGGAGTTTGAGAGTGCTGAAAGTCGAGTCAAAACGTCAACATGAGTGCTGCACTGTTCCTGCACACCTTCCGGCTTCTGCAAGTCGAGTCAAAACGTCAACATGAGTGCTGCACTGTTCCTGCACACCTTCCGGCTTCTGCAAGTCGAGTCAAAACGTCAACATGAGTGCTGCACTGTTCCTGCACACCTTCCGGCTTCTGCAAGTCGAGTCAACACGTCAACATGAGTGCTGCACTGTTCCTGCACACCTTCCGGCTTCTGCAAGTCGAGTCAACACGCCATGACCTTGTGACTGAAAGCTGCGCGCACACAATAACCGACCGGCGTGCGTGCTATCGCCTCGGCCCTCTTGTAGCATTCCCCAAGCTTTCTCCCGTTCACCCAAGCTGCAGCAATGCACCTCCTTGCCATCTCCCCCTTACCAAACATGAGCCTGCCTGCCATTCCCTTCCCCCGCGCCGCGCCCACCTCCTCACAATCTCCCCCTTACCCACCACTGCACAAACCTTCTCCCCAAAAGCTCACCGCCTGGCAATCTCCACGACTGCCCGCACATCGAAGCCATCAGCCACGCTCTGCTTCCTCACCCACTGTCGTGCTGTGCTATCTCCCCTCACCCACCTCCACGCTACTCACCGCCTGGCAATCTCCACAACTGCCCGCACGTCGAAGCCATCAGCCACGCTCTGCTCCCTCACCCTCGCCAGCTGCTCCTCATTGGTGTCGCGAGCTATCTGTGTGGCGTGCAAAGAAAGACGAATCTCATGTGTGGAGGCGCAAGGGACAGCGAAGGACCAGAGGGCAAATGGACAAGACACGATTCACCAAGCGCGAATAAACCACACCCAAACAGAACCAGAATGTTGCAATTTTTAAACAATATTTGACTTGCTGCAATCAACAATACCATCTAAACTATATCCCACCGCAGCAATCGTCTCCTCCTGGCCAGTGATGCAGGGATAAACGGCCATCGGCCTGAGCCCAACGGCCGGCCTGAGCCCATCGGCCTGGGCCCTGGGGCACACAACATTGCTTCAGTCTCAACACCAGTGAGGACTCACCGCAGCAATCTTCTCCTCCCTGTCAGCGATGCAGGGCAGAATGGCGCCCACCACAGCTGCATAGTACGGCATCATCTGTGCTCCCCCCAGCTTCACAAAATCGTTGATCTGCGATGGATTAGAGGAGAGCAGAGAGCATGCATCAGCTTGTGACATGGGGTAATATGGCGCCCACCACAGCGGCATGGTACGGCATCATCATCTGTGCTCAGGCCAGCTTCACAAAGTCGTTGATCTGCGTTGAATCACAGGCATGTGAGTAAAACACATGTGTAAGATACCATGGCAACATCTGTATTCATGTGAAAGCAGTGGGGCATGCACTACCACATCATCACATCACATCATACCCATGTGACAGCATGTCACAACACATCACATCACATCACATCACATCACATCACATCACATCACATCACATCACATCACAACACAACACAACACATCACATCACATCACATCACATCACATCACATCACATCACATCACATCACATCACATCACAACACAACACAACACATCACATCACATCACATCACATCACATCACATCACATCACATCACATCACATCACATCACATCACATCACATCACATCACATCACATCACATCACATCACATCACAACACAACACAACACATCACATCACATCACATCACATCACATCACATCACATCACATCACATCACATCACATCACATCACAACACAACACATCACATCACATCACATCACATCACATCACATCACATCACATCACAACACATCACATCACATCACATCCCATCATACCCATGTGACAGCATCCCGTCCCATCCCATCCCATCATACCCATGTGACAGCATCCCGTCCCATCCCATCCCATCATACCCATGTGACACCATCCCATCCCATCCCATCCCATCATACCCATGTGACAGCATCCCATCCCATCATACCCATGTGACAGCATCCCATGCCATCATACCCATGTGACAGCATCCCATCCCATCATACCCATGTGACAGCATCCCATGCCATCATACCCAAGTGACAGCATCCCATGCCATCATACCCAAGTGACAGCATCCCATGCCATCATACCCATGTGACACCATCCCATCCCATCATACCCAAGTGACACCATCCCATCCCATCATACCCAAGTGACACCATCCCATCCCATCATACCCATGTGACACCATCCCATCCCATCATACCCATGTGACAGCATCCCATCCCATCATACCCAAGTGACACCATCCCATGCCATCATACCCATGTGACACCATCCCATCCCATCATACCCAAGTGACAGCATCCCATGCCATCATACCCAAGTGACAGCATCCCATGCCATCATACCCAAGTGACAGCATCCCATGACATCATACCCAAGTGACAGCATCACTTGCCATCATACCCAATTGACAGCATTCCATGCCATCATACCCATGTGACAGCATCCCATGCCATCATACCCAAGTGACAGCATCCCATGCCATCATACCCATCTGACAGCATCCCATGCCATCATACCCAAGTGACAGCATCCCATGCCATCATACCCATGTGACAGCATCCCATGCCATCATACCCAAGTGACAGCATCCCATGCCATCATACCCATGTGACAGCATCCCATGCCATCATACCCAAGTGACAGCATCCCATGCCATCATACCCAAGTGACAGCATCCCATGCCATCATACCCATCTGACAGCATCCCATGCCATCATACCCAAGTGACAGCATCCCATGCCATCATACCCATGTGACAGCATCCCATGCCATCATACCCAAGTGACAGCATCCCATGCCATCATACCCAAGTGACAGCATCCCATGCCATCATACCCATGTGACAGCATCCCATGCCATCATACCCATGTGACAGCATCCCATGCCATCATACCCAAGTGACAGCATCCCATGCCATCATACCCAAGTGACAGCATCCCATCCCATCATACCCAAGTGACAGCATCCCATGCCATCATACCCAAGTGACAGCATCCCATCCCATCATACCCAAGTGACAGCATCCCATGCCATCATACCCAAGTGACAGCATGTCACAACACATCACATCACATCACATCACATCACATCACATCACATCACATCACATCACAACACAACACAACACATCACATCACATCACATCACATCACATCACATCACATCACATCACATCACATCACATCACATCACATCACATCACATCACAACACAACACATCACATCACATCACATCACATCACATCACATCACATCACATCACATCACATCACAACACAACACATCACATCACATCACATCACATCACATCACATCACATCACATCACATCACATCACATCACATCACAACACAACACAACACATCACATCACATCACATCACATCACATCACATCACATCACATCACATCACAACACAACACAACACATCACATCACATCACATCACATCACATCACATCACATCACATCACATCCCATCATACCCATGTGACAGCATCCCGTCCCATCCCATCCCATCATACCCATGTGACAGCATCCCGTCCCATCCCATCCCATCATACCCATGTGACACCATCCCATCCCATCCCATCCCATCATACCCATGTGACACCATCCCATCCCATCAAACCCAAGTGACACCATCCCATCCCATCATACCCATGTGACAGCATCCCATGCCATCATACCCATGTGACGGCATCCCATCCCATCATACCCATGTGACAGCATCCCATGCCATCATACCCAAGTGACAGCATCCCATGCCATCATACCCAAGTGACAGCATCCCATGCCATCATATGCATGTGACACCATCCCATCCCATCCCATCCCATCATACCCATGTGACACCATCCCATCCCATCCCATCATAACCATGTGACACCATCCCATCCCATCAAACCCAAGTGACACCATCCCATCCCATCATACCCATGTGACAGCATCCCATGCCATCATACCCATGTGACAGCATCCCATCCCATCATACCCAAGTGACACCATCCCATCCCATCATACCCAAGTGACACCATCCCATCCCATCATACCCATGTGACAGCATCCCATCCCATCATACCCAAGTGACACCATCCCATGCCATCATACCCATGTGACACCATCCCATCCCATCATACCCATGTGACAGCATCCCATGCCATCATACCCATGTGACAGCATCCCATGCCATCATACCCAAGTGACAGCATCCCATGCCATCATACCCAAGTGACAGCATCCCATGACATCATACTCAAGTGACAGCATCACTTGCCATCATACCCAATTGACAGCATTCCATGCCATCATACCCATGTGACAGCATCCCATGCCATCATACCCAAGTGACAGCATCCCATGCCATCATACCCATCTGACAGCATCCCATGCCATCATACCCAAGTGACAGCATCCCATGCCATCATACCCATGTGACAGCATCCCATGCCATCATACCCAAGTGACAGCATCCCATGCCATCATACCCATGTGACAGCATCCCATGCCATCATACCCAAGTGACAGCATCCCATGCCATCATACCCAAGTGACAGCATCCCATGCCATCATACCCATCTGACAGCATCCCATGCCATCATACCCAAGTGACAGCATCCCATGCCATCATACCCATGTGACAGCATCCCATGCCATCATACCCAAGTGACAGCATCCCATGCCATCATACCCAAGTGACAGCATCCCATGCCATCATACCCATGTGACAGCATCCCATGCCATCATACCCATGTGACAGCATCCCATGCCATCATACCCAAGTGACAGCATCCCATGCCATCATACCCAAGTGACAGCATCCCATCCCATCATACCCAAGTGACAGCATCCCATGCCATCATACCCAAGTGACAGCATCCCATCCCATCATACCCAAGTGACAGCATCCCATGCCATCATACCCATGTGACAGCATCCCATGCCATCATACCCAAGTGACAGCATCCCATGCCATCATACCCATGTGACAGCATCCCATGCCATCATACCCATCTGACAGCATCCCATGCCATCATACCCAAGTGACAGCATCCCATGCCATCATACCCAAGTGACAGCATCTCATGCCATCATACCCAAGTGACAGCATCCCATCCCATCATACCCAAGTGACAGCATCCCATGCCATCATACCCAAGTGACAGCATCCCATGCCATCATACCCATGTGACAGCATCCCATGCCATCATACCCAAGTGACAGCATCCCATCCCATCATACCCATGTGACAGCATCCCATGCCATCATACCCAAGTGACAGCATCCCATGCCATCATACCCAAGTGACACCATCCCATGCCATCATACCCAAGTGACACCATCCCATCCCATCATACCCATGTGACAGCATCCCATCCCATCATACCCAAGTGACAGCATCCCATGCCATCATACCCAAGTGGCAGCATCCCATGCCATCATACCCATGTGACAGCATCCCATGCCATCATACCCATGTGACAGCATCCCATGCCATCATACCCAAGTGACAGCATCCCATGCCATCATACCCAAGTGACAGCATCCCATGCCATCATACCCATGTGACAGCATCCCATGCCATCATACACATGTGACAGCATCCCATGCCATCATACCCAAGTGACAGCATCCCATGCCATCATACCCATGTGACAGCATCCCATCCCATCATACCCATGTGACAGCATCCCATCCCATCATACCCATGTGACAGCATCCCATGCCATCATACCCAAGTGACACCATCCCATCCCATCATACCCAAGTGACAGCATCCCATGCCATCATACCCATGTGACAGCATCCCATGCCATCATACCCATGTGACAGCATCCCATGCCATCATACCCAAGTGGCAGCATCCCATGCCATCATACCCATGTGACAGCATCCCATGCCATCATACCCATGTGACAGCATCCCATGCCATCATACCCAAGTGACAGCATCCCATGCCATCATACCCAAGTGACAGCATCCCATGCCATCATACCCATGTGACAGCATCCCATGCCATCATACACATGTGACAGCATCCCATGCCATCATACCCAAGTGACAGCATCCCATGCCATCATACCCATGTGACAGCATCCCATCCCATCATACCCATGTGACAGCATCCCATCCCATCATACCCATGTGACAGCATCCCATGCCATCATACCCAAGTGACACCATCCCATCCCATCATACCCAAGTGACAGCATCCCATGCCATCATACCCATGTGACAGCATCCCATGCCATCATACCCATGTGACAGCATCCCATGCCATCATACCCAAGTGACAGCATCCCATGCCATCATACCCAAGTGACAGCATCCCATGCCATCATACCCATGTGACAGCATCCCATGCCATCATACATATGTGACAGCATCCCATGCCATCATACCCAAGTGACAGCATCCCATGCCATCATACCCATGTGACAGCATCCCATCCCATGATACCCATGTGACAGCATCCCATGCCATCATACCCATGTGACAGCATCCCATGCCATCATACCCAAGTGACAGCATCCCATGCCATCATACCCAAGTGACAGCATCCCATGCCATGATACCCATGTGACAGCATCCCATGCCATCATACCCATGTGACAGCATCCCATGCCATCATACCCATGTGACAGCATCCCATCCCATCATACCCATGTGACAGCATCCCATCCCATCATACCCATGTGACAGCATCCCATGCCATCATACCCAAGTGACAGCATCCCATGCCATCATACCCATGTGACAGCATCCCATGCCATCATACCCATGTGACAGCATCCCATGCCATCATACCCATGTGACAGCATCCCATGCCATCATACCCATGTGACAGCATCCCATGCCATCATACCCATGTGACAGCATCCCATGCCATCATACCCATGTGACAGCATCCCATGCCATCATACCCATGTGACAGCATCCCATGCCATCATACCCATGTGACAGCATCCCATGCCATCATACCCATGTGACAGCATCCCATGCCATCATACCCATGTGACAGCATCCCATGCCATCATACCCATGTGACAGCATCCCATCCCATCCTACCCATGTGACAGCAGTGAGGCGAGTGAACTCATCAGAGGACCCCGCTCGCTGCACCAGGATCTCCATCATTCGCCCGTACTCCACCGCCTGAAGATGGGGCAGGGGGGAGGAGAATGTGACGGCAGGATTGGGATGGGCGACAAAGGGAATGGGTGCCTGCTGCACCAGGATCTCCATCATGCGCCCATACTCCACGGCCTGGCAGGGGAAAGGGGGGAACGGGAAACGGAAGGTTAGAAATGGGGGGGGGGGGGGGGGGGGGGGGGGGGAACAGAACCCTGCACCCTGAACCACCTTACCTGCACCCTACTGCAAGCACCCCCCCTTCCCCCCCCCCCCCTTCCTATCTCCCCCCCCTGCCACTCACAGGCGCGTGGCGAATCTCGTGCAAAAACTCCCTCAGAGCACTGTCTGCCTGCACTCGAATTTCGTGGGCTGAATCGCCCAGCATGTTGAACAGGCCTGGGTAGGGAAGGGGAGGAAAAGTGGTAGAAGAGCGGGGGGAGAGGGATAGTTAGGTGGGTTGAGTGGCATGATGGTTCCTCACTGCACTGTCTGCCACTGCCGGTAGGGTTGAGCAAAGAAACGAGCCCCTGTTCGGTTCGCCTCGAACGTGCTCGAGGCGAACCGAACAGGTGTTTTTTTTAGCTTTAAGTGTTCGTGACAAACGTGCTCGAGGTTCGCCCCAACACGCCTTCACAGGCGAACACCGAACATCTGTTTTTGCTAAAAGTGTTCGCCGAACCGAACACTGTTCGGTTCGGCGAATGGCTGTGTTCGTGCAGGGGCGAACACGAACACGTTCACTAACTGCCGGCACTCTAACTTCATGGGCCAAACGTGCTTTCTGCTTGCTCTGGGATCTCGTGAGCCACTTTGGAGAATTCTCATAAGTGATACAGAGCACTGTCTGCCTGCACTCGAATTTCGTGGGCTGAATCGCCCAGCATGTTGAACAGGCCTGGGTAGGGAAGGGGAGGAAAAGTGGTAGAAGAGCGGGGGGAGAGGGATAGTTAGGTGGGTTGAGTGGCATGATGGTTCCTCACTGCACTGTCTGCCACTGCCGGTAGGGTTGAGCAAAGAAACGAGCCCCTGTTCGGTTCGCCTCGAACGTGCTCGAGGCGAACCGAACAGGTGTTTTTTTTAGCTTAAAGTGTTCGTGACAAACGTGCTCGAGGTTCGCCCCAACACGCCTTCACAGGCGAACACCGAACATCTGTTTTTGCTAAAAGTGTTCGCCGAACCGAACACTGTTCGGTTCGGCGAATGGCTGTGTTCGTGCAGGGGCGAACACGAACACGTTCACTAACTGCCGGCACTCTAACTTCATGGGCCAAACGTGCTTTCTGCTTGCTCTGGGATCTCGTGAGCCACTTTGGAGAATTCTCATAAGTGATACAGAGCACTGTGTGCCTGCACTGCGATATTATGGGACAGCCACTACTACTTCTTCCAAGTCAACAAGATATGGGGGAGAGAGACGTGACGGCAGGAGGGCAGCGGAGGGACGGGAAAGAGGTTCTTAAGGAGGGAGAGGAAGGCATCACATAGGAGGGAACAGCTGCTTTCGGATTGCTCAGTGTGTGCATGGTGAGCAGGCATCACACATGGTGAGCAGGCATCACGCATGGTGAGGAGGCATCATGCATGGTGAGCAGGCATCACGCATGGTGAGGAGGCATCACGCATGGTGAGGAGGCATCATGCATGGTGAGGAGGCATCATGCATGGAGAGCAGGGTAGGGCAATTCAAAGGGCATAAAATACAGATACAAAGTTCAGACTACCCACCATCCAGCAGGTCTGGTAAGAAGCCGAGCATGTCAATGTCAGGCACGCTGTCAAGCTGTCTACTGACTTGACTGGACTTGGACTCAGATGGCACACACACACAATCCACGCACCAAGCAACCAACCCACCATCCAGCAGGTCGGGCAGGAAGCCAAGCATGTCAATATCAGGCACGCTGTCAAGCACCGTGATCCAGCCGACTTGGCTTGACTCATAAGGCACACACACAGAAGCCATGCATGCAGACACTACGTTCACATCACAGCACTCACCGTCGAGTAGATCAGGTAGGAACCCGAGCATGTCGATGTCAGGCACGCTGTCCAGCACCGTGATCCCTTGGAGTCGACTTTAAGCTGATTGCAATCAGAGAGCTCAGATGATTCACTGACCGTCTAGCAAGTCGGGTAGGAATCCTAGCATGTCAATGTCAGGCACGCTGTCCAGCACGGTGATCCATCCGACCAGGAACTGCTGCACGAAGGGGTTGAGCACACTCATGTGCGCTCGGAGCAGCGGGATGAACTCTTCTATACTGTGCGGGGATAGGATGAAGGTTTTGGTCATGGGGCATGGAGGATAGGGTATGACGCACAAGGGATAGGGCAAGGCAAGGGATGGGGCACGGGACAGCAGTGTAGGTCATGGGGCACAAAGACAAGGGTATGGGGCATGACAAGGGCAGGCGCAGGGTGTGAGGCACGGGACAGCAGTGATCCAGCCGGCGAGGAAGGAACAAGGGGTTGAGCACACTCATGTGCGCCCGGAGCAAAGGAATGAATTCCCCTATGCTGTATGCATGGGGTATGGAGGATGGGGGGGAGCATGTCATGTCCACATCGCAGCTCCACCCACGAATTTCTTTCAGGCGGGCTATAAAAAGAGATTGGTGGTGTCAAGGCTTGTGGTGATGCAAAGAGTGCTCCAGGGCGAGGTGTATTACTGTATGACTTTTGAGAATTCTCAAAAGTCATACAAATATAGGTGTGATACTTTGGAGCAGGAGGAGGTGGCACGCCTGCGCTGCGCCTGACCGTGGTACTTTCGAGCAAGGGAAAGTGGAGTCAGAATTGAGCCTACTTTTGAACTGACCAAAAGATTGAGGCAGCACGGGAGCAATGAGTCGCAATTAGGGCAGGCAGGCAGTGTTGCAATGGGATGAAACGGAGAGGGAACGGTGTAGATTAGATCCAACGGACGGACGGCAGAGTGGTGGGTGAGTGGAATGTGCAAGAGAGTAAATGCTTGATTGGAACAAACCACAAAGGAGAAGGAGAAAGGATGTGGATGGGAACGAGAAGAGGGAGCAGTAATGGAGGCGAGGCGGGAAGTGAGAAGTGAAGGGGGTGGATGTGGGCAGAGAGAGGCAGTGACAGGGACGGGCAAGGGGGCACCTGAATTGGTCGCTGACAGTGACTATGTCCTGTAGTAGAGAGGGTGAGTATGAGAAGGGGTTGGGAGGGCATGGGGGTGGGAGAAAAACTAAGTGTGGTAGGAGGAAAGTGCTTGCGGCACGGGGGCGGAGGGGCACCTGAATTGGTCGCTGACAGTGACTATGCCCTGTAGTAGAGAGGGTGCGTATGAGAAGGGGGGTGGTGGAGCAGGTCGATGGAGGGAGAGTGTGGAATGAGTGATGATAGAGTGGATGGTGGCTTAAAAGGTTAGAAATCCTGGGTTCTGATTCCTTGCCTCCAATAGCCTCTTGGCTGCCATTGACAGGTGGTCCTGCAGGGTATTTTTGAGAATTCTCAAAAATACCCTGCAGCATCAATAGCCTCCTCCTTGCTGCCATTGACAGGTGGTCACTCATTCATTTACTCAATCACTCGCCCACTCTTTCACCCACCCACTCACACACACACTCATTCCGCACCTTAACGAGACAATCGAGCGGGTGTGTGGCGGATTGCACGTTGGGGTCACTCACTCCCTTTCTCCCCAATTCTCTCACTCCCTTTCTCCCCAACTCTCTCACTCCCTTTCTCCCCAACTCTCTCACTCCCTCACTCCTCACCTTGACAAGCCGGTCCAGCAGGTGGGCGGCGGACTGCACGTTGGGGTCCAGGTCAGCAGAGAGCTTGCAGAGAGCGTTGAACGCGTCATTGAAGAACACTATGAAGTCGCCACGTGTCACCTGGTGATAGGACGGAGGGAGGGAGGGAGGGAGTGTAAGCAAGATGCACAGTGGGTGTGAACTGTGCCCACGTTGCATGCTTGTCATCTGTATCAAATCATGAGTTGCCTCATGCTTGTCATCTGTATCAAATCATGAGTTGCCTCATGCTTGTCATCTGTATCAAATCATGAGTTGCCTCATGCTTGTCATCTGTATCACATCATGAGTTGCCTCATGCTTGTCATCTGTATCAAATCATGAGTTGCCTCATGCTTGTCATCTGTATCAAATCATGAGTTGCCTCATGCTTGTCATCTGTATCAAATCATGAGTTGCCTCATGCTTGTCATCTGTATCAAATCATGAGTTGCCTCATGCTTGTCATCTGTATCAAATCATGAGTTGCCTCATGCTTGTCATCTGTATCAAATCATGAGTTGCCTCATGCTTGTCATCTGTATCAAATCATGAGTTGCCTCATGCTTGTCATCTGTATCAAATCATGAGTTGCCTCATGCTTGTCATCTGTATCACATCATGAGTTGCCTCATGCTTGTCATCTGTATCAAATCATGAGTTGCCTCATGCTTGTCATCTGTATCAAATCATGAGTTGCCTCATGCTTGTCATCTGTATCAAATCATGAGTTGCCTCATGCTTGTCATCTGTATCAAATCATGAGTTGCCTCATGCTTGTCATCTGTATCAAATCATGAGTTGCCTCATGCTTGTCATCTGTATCAAATCATGAGTTGCCTCATGCTTGTCATCTGTATCAAATCATGAGTTGCCTCATGCTTGTCATCTGTATCAAATCATGAGTTGCCTCATGCTTGTCATCTGTATCAAATCATGAGTTGCCTCATGCTTGTCATCTGTATCACATCATGAGTTGCCTCATGCTTGTCATCTGTATCAAATCATGAGTTGCCTCATGCTTGTCATCTGTATCAAATCATGAGTTGCCTCATGCTTGTCATCTGTATCAAATCATGAGTTGCCTCATGCTTGTCATCTGTATCAAATCATGAGTTGCCTCATGCTTGTCATCTGTATCAAATCATGAGTTGCCTCATGCTTGTCATCTGTATCAAATCATGAGTTGCCTCATGCTTGTCATCTGTATCAAATCATGAGTTGCCTCATGCTTGTCATCTGTATCAAATCATGAGTTGCCTCATGCTTGTCATCTGTATCAAATCATGAGTTGCCTCATGCTTGTCATCTGTATCAAATCATGAGTTGCCTCATGCTTGTCATCTGTATCAAATCATGAGTTGCCTCATGCTTGTCATCTGTATCAAATCATGAGTTGCCTCATGCTTGTCATCTGTATCAAATCATGAGTTGCCTCATGCTTGTCATCTGTATCAAATCATGAGTTGCCTCATGCTTGTCATCTGTATCAAATCATGAGTTGCCTCATGCTTGTCATCTGTATCAAATCATGAGTTGCCTCATGCTTGTCATCTGTATCAAATCATGAGTTGCCTCATGCTTGTCATCTGTATCAAATCATGAGTTGCCTCATGCTTGTCATCTGTATCAAATCATGAGTTGCCTCATGCTTGTCATCTGTATCAAATCATGAGTTGCCTCATGCTTGTCATCTGTATCAAATCATGAGTTGCCTCATGCTTGTCATCTGTATCAAATCATGAGTTGCCTCATGCTTGTCATCTGTATCAAATCATGAGTTGCCTCATGCTTGTGATCTGTATCAAATCATGAGTTGCCTCTTGTAAGGGTTCATTCATTCCACACATTTTAGTTGGGTGCATGCATGATGGATTGCACTGAGTGTGAAAGCCACGTGATAGAAGTTGGGTTTTGAGACGTCTCAAAACCCAGCTTTTATCACGTGGCTTTTCCAATTAAAATTGTAAAAGTTTGTCTGCTGTATTACAGTGGTTGTTTGGTCCACTTCTAAGGTGCCTTAAAAGCCATCACAACGACGACCTTTGAGGCGCCTCAGGACTCTTCTGGAATGCGTGAAAGTTGATTTGGTATCAAAGTGGTTCTTTAGACCAAACCACCTCCACTTGTACTCAACGCAGCGCACACCCAGCACTCAACCAAAAGCTTCTTAGCTCACACTCACTGGTCAATCCTCCTTCAAATATAAAACGCGGGCTTGGCAATGTTGTGTTGTGGGGCACAAGTGCGCTTTGAGTGGGTAAAAACCCAAATCCCAAAGTTAAAAAACCCCAACCCTCCAACCAAAAACTTCAAACCCCAGACCCGAAACCCAAAAACCCGAACCTGCCAAACCCCAACCCCCCCCAAAATCGACTGAAAAACCAGGAGCAAGAAGGTCACCTTGGCGATGTTGTAGAGCGCTTCACAGGCGTAGTAGCGCACCCGGCTGTCCATATGAGTCAACTCACAAGTCACCTTGATGCAATGGCACGCAGATAGCAGGTCAGGGTGAGGGGATCACCTTGGCGATGTTGTAGAGCGCTTCACAGGCGTAGTAGCGCACTCGACTGTCCGAGTCTGAGAACGACTTGAGCACCTCTGGCACGATGCGCTGGGGGATGGAGAGAGTGTTGTGGGTGGGGAAGGGAGGGGGGAAGGATGGGGGGAGGGCGATTGAGGGCGGGGGGAAGGGGGAGTGGCAGGCGTAGTAGCGCACTCGGCTGTCTGAATCCGAGAACGACTTGAGCACCTCCGGCACGATGCACTGGTAGGGAGAGATTTTGTGTGGCGGAGGGGGGTGGAGGGCAGGGGGAAGGGGGAGTGGCAGGAGTGCACGTGGCTGTCTGAGTCCGAGGTACAACTTGAGCACCTCTGGCACGATGCACTGGGGTGGGGAAGAAGGGAGGGAGGGCGATGGAGGGCGGGGGGAAGGGGGAATTGCAGGAGCGCACTTGGCTGTCCAAGTCCGAGGTACAACTTGAGCACATCTGGCACGATGCGGTGGACAAGGTGGATGCATGCAGTGCAGTGCATGGCCCGCACAGAGAGGGGAACACCAGGGTAGGAAGCAACGGGCAAAGAAGGGCTTTGGAAGTTAAGAGTGAATGGATGGAAGCGGGTTTTTGAGTTGACTCAAGAGTTGATGGACAGGCCCTAGTGGACAGGTAAGAGTGTATGGATGGAAGCGGAAAGAGTTGATGCCCAGGCCAGGCATTATGATGTGGGGACGGGGGGGTGGGGTGGTAGTGGGATGCAGTGCATGGGGGTACACATGGGGAAGGCGGACAGGCAGGGAAGGTTAGGAAGCTCAAGTCTATGTTGGAGAAGTCGCGCCCAGCGCATTATATGCAAGCGCATATACGCTTGCGTATAGTGCGTTATGCACTTCGTGAGTGACTTTGAAAGTCGCAGAAAGTACGCTGCCTGGGCAGCAAAAGGTTTTTACCGGGCAGACGAAAAAAACCGCCGAAGGAGGGGGGGGGGAGTGGTGGTTTTACCGAATTTCATATATTGAAAAAACCCACCATTCTCAACTACTCTAAGCAAGCAACATGCATCTCTCCTACCCCACCCCCTACTCCCACCCTCTACTCCCCCCGTCCCTTCCTTCCTCCTCTATTTGTACTCATCCTCCAGCTCATCCTCCTCCCCCTCCTCCTCATCCTCCTCCAGAACCTCGTTGTACCCTTCCGGCAGGGAGGCCTCAGGGGTGTTCCCCGGGAGAACCGTCACCCACTCAGCCCCCTTGTGCCAGTTGCGCACAATGTTCCAATTGTGCGCAACATACACGAGGTCCCGACACTTCTCGGACCCCAACCTGTTGCGCTTGGCAGTGTGGATCGATTCCCACACTGCCCAGTTCCTCTCACACGCCGATGCGGACACTGGCTGAGAGAGAACGCGGCAAGCGAGCGTTGTCAGCTCGGGGTGCTCCGTCCCGTGCCACGTCCACCACTGGACGGCCGTCTTCTTGCCGGCCTTCACGAGCTCACGGTCAGAGATGGCGTCGGGTAGGCCGAAGCTCCCCTGAAGGGTGTTGAATGCCGTCAGGCCGTCCTGGATGACGTGGGATGCGCGCAGCTCCTCGCCATCCTTGCGCGTGACGGTCCGCCCTGCGTAGTGACGAGCGACAAACACTTTGAAGACGCGAGTACACTCCAGGTCAGTGCGGAAGATGCCTTCCTCTTGGTTGACCGGGTTGAGGATCCGGCCAACCACGTGCATGGCACACGCCATGCTATGGTCCCAGCGCTTTTGGACGATGTTGGTCACCTCCGTGCGTTCACTGCTGGACAGCACCAATCCCGCCTCCTCCTCCTCCAGCTTCGCATTGATGTCTTCCGTGAGCTGCAGCATCAGATCGTACATCCTGCCCATCATGCCCTTAGCCGTCGAGTCGGTCTTGCGCATGACGACAAAGGGTATCTTCAGGAGACGACGAAGAACTCCGCCCCTTTCCACCACACGGCATCCATGATCATGGCTTCGAAGGGCTCGACCGGCGGCTTCCTCCCCTTCGCCCAAGCCTGCCACTCCGGGCTCAGCACCATCTGCGTCAATGCACTCCGCACCTCGCAAAGCCGCTGCACCGCGATGAATTGCGTGCCAAATCTGGTGCCCGCCGGCTTCAGCACCTGCTTCCCCTTCCCTCCCTTCACTTACGGGCTTCGCATGTAACCTTTGGTGAAATGGTGGACACGCACAAAGGTAATAATCACCCCCGCCTTAGCCACAATGTCCTTCGCCCAATCCATTTTCCCAATGTCCTCCATGAGCAGATCCATGACGTGAGTAGCGCACAGCACATGCTCAATGTGAGGATACTCAAGCATGAGTTCCCTACATGCAGCCGCATAATTGCTGCCCCCATCCATGCATAACGCAACTATGTTGGCGAGCCCCACCTTCTCAATGATCGGGCGCAAAACGGATGCAATGTAGCCTCCCGTCTTCGTCTCCAACATACAGTCGATGCTTTCGGTGAACACTGCACCGGAATCGTTGATGAGCAGGATGTTGGCTTGGGGACGGCCACTTTTGTCCGTCATCATGTCCGAGCCTATCGTCACGCCATCCCGCTTCCAGCTTGCAGTGATGGGAGCGAGCCCCCTCTCGATCTTTTCGCGGCAGCGCGCAAGGCCGGCGCCACCAACATACCGCCGCTTCGGGGGAACGTAGCCATGGCCCGCGTCCGTGATGCAGCGCACAGCGTTGCGCCAGAGAGGGTGATCGGCGAGATGCTCCGGGAGGTGAAGTGCCGCCCACATGAGGCAGATGGCGTCGTCTGCCGATTCCTTCGCACACGAAGCCCCTTCCCCGTAGAAGTCTTCGATGCACTGCTTCTTCGCTCCACCCGCACACGCCTCGATCGCCATCTCCTTCGCCTTCTTCTTCCCTTCCCTGCGAGCGTGTTTGCCTTCGTACAATACGCGGACGGCGCCGCGGTCGGCAGAAGGGATAGGCGCCTTGCAAAGACAGACGTCCTTCCATTTCAGCCCTTTCCAGCGCGTGATGTGTTGCGCGCAACGGAAGGCGCCCCCTACGAACTTAAGCTTGCAGTGCCGGCATATGCGGAGAGTACGCTCAGGACCATTCGAGGTACCTTCGGTAGAGGTAAGGAAATGCTTAAAAATAACATGGGTGTTCACAGGACATCCTCGTCGTCCGCCATGGTCGCGCCATTCGAAACACTAGGAGCCTCACTAGTGGCACTTGTGGGATTACCAGAAGGAGTCGACATCAAGTGCAGGTGAGCGGGAGTGTTGAGAGAGAATGAACGAGAGAGATAATACAGATGACGGGAATGAGAGCTTACCTTATAGTCCAGGATGTGGTTGAACCACCTACGCTGGTTGACGACATTCATGTTTGTGTGTTGGAGTCGCGCAATAGCATAGGGTGCAGTGCGGTTCAAATTTTCCCACGTCCCCACATTTTGACAGGTGTGGGTGACAATGTGGTTGGGACGTGCGTACAAATTGGGGTGGGACGTGCGTACATTTTGAGTCACGTCAAACATTCGCAATTCATGCGCGACTATTGAAATCTTGTTTTTTTTCGGGTCAGCCCAAACTTTCGCCAACGAATATACGTACGACTTGTGTACACCGTATATTCGTAAACGACTATACGGAGTGCGCTTATGGTTTCTGGCGACTTTTCCAACATAGGCTCAAGTGCAGCAAGGGGCTGAGAACATCGTGAGATGACGTGTCACTGGCATGGAAAAGAATGCATAAAAACGCTGAAGCACTCAAGGGAAAATCGGCTGAAACAGTTGGAATCGAGAAAGCCGCCCACATACATGGACGGATGTGGTAGCTGGAATCAAGGTCCCCAGCCCCCCTCACCCCAGTGACCATCACAGCTCCCAACTCAATGAGAAACAGCGAGTGAGGCATGCATGTACACAGTGCACTCCCGCATACTGCATGCAGCGAGGTAACTTTTGAGTCGACTCAAAAGAGTGAGGCGTGCATGTACACAGTGCACTCCTCCATACTGCATGCAGCGCCATGGATCATGGATGCACCATCCCATCCCATCCCATTCCCACCCTGCCAACCCCCCCAACGTACATCGAGTTGGCGTCACGGCCCAGGAAGCCCCACAGTGTGACAGCCGCCAGCCCTATGAGACCCACAGCCGCAGCATCAACATGACTGGCGTCCGGCCCCAGCCCCACGATCACAGCCGCCAGCCCTATGAGACCCCAGACAAAGGGGGAAGTGTGTGTCCGCATCCCATACCACAGGCAACGCCAACGGGTGCATCATTCCATGCCCTTCTGCCAGGCTCCCCACCCCCCCACACGTACACCAAGGTACTGACTCAAAAGCAGGATCAACATGACTGGCGTCTGGCCCCAGCCCCACGATCACAGCCGCCAGCCACTAGGGCACCAACATTCCATCCATTCCACACCTCCTCGTTCCGACTTTTGAGTCGACTCAAAAGTTTGGCCCCAGCCTCACGGTCACAGCCGCCAGGCACTGGGGCACCAACATTCCACTCCCCACCTCCTCGTTCCCCAGCCCCCCCCAACCCCCCCACACGTACATACATCAAGGTACTGACTGGCATCAGGGCCCAGCCCCACGGTCACACACAGCCGCCAGCCCTATGAGACTCCGACGGTAAGGCATGCAGATAGAACCACCATCCCCACGTGCATCAGTACAGCACACCCACCACGCCCCTCTCTCTTCCCCCCCCCCACCCCCCCACCACACGAACATCGAGGTACTGGCTGGATGGTGTCAGGGAACCGCCCCACTGTGACAGCCGCCAGCCCTATGAGCCATGAGAGCACCATGACTGCGTGTATTGCACCATGACTGCGTGTATTGCACCATGACTGCGTGTATTGCACCATGACTGCGTGTATTGCACCATGACTGCGTGTATTGCACCATGACTGCGTGTATTGCACCATGACTGCGTGTATTGCACCATGACTGCGTGTATTGCACCATGACTGCGTGTATTGCACCATGACTGCGTGTATTGCACCATGACTGCGTGTATTGCACCATGACTGCGTGTATTGCACCATGACTGCGTGTATTGCACCATGACTGCGTGTATTGCACCATGACTGCGTGTATTGCACCATGACTGCGTGTATTACACCATGACTGCGTGTATTGCACCATGACTACGTATATTGCACCATGACTGCGTGTATTGCACCATGACTGCGTGTATTGCACCATGACTGCGTGTATTGCACCATGACTGCGTGTATTGCACCATGACTGCGTGTATTGCACCATGACTGCGTGTATTGCACCATGACTGCGTGTATTGCACCATGACTGCGTGTATTGCACCATGACTGCGTGTATTGCACCATGACTGCGTGTATTGCACCATGACTGCGTGTATTGCACCATGACTGCGTGTATTGCACCATGACTGCGTGTATTGCACCATGACTGCGTGTATTGCACCATGACTACGTGTATTGCACCATGACTGCGTGTATTGCACCATGACTACGTGTATTGCACCATGACTACGTGTATTGCACCATGACTACGTGTATTGCACCATGACTACGTGTATTGCACCATGACTACGTGTATTACACCATGACTGCGTGTATTGCACCATGACTACGTGTATTGCACCATGACTGCGTGTATTGCACCATGACTGCGTGTATTGCACCATGACTGCGTGTATTGCACCATGACTGCGTGTATTGCACCATGACTGCGTGTATTGCACCATGACTACGTGTATTGCACCATGACTGCGTGTATTGCACCATGACTGCGTGTATTGCACCATGACTGCGTGTATTGCACCATGACTGCGTGTATTGCACCATGACTGCGTGTATTGCACCATGACTACGTGTATTGCACCATGACTACGTGTATTGCACCATGACTGCGTGTATTGCACCATGACTGCGTGTATTGCACCATGACTGCGTGTATTGCACCATGACTACGTGTATTGCACTACCCAACCCCACCACTCCTTACTCCCCCACACGTACGTCGAGGTACCGACTGGCGTCAGGGCCCAGCCCCACCGTGACCGCCGCCAGCCCTATGAGAGAAGGGCGCACACATCCCCATGCCGCATGCAATGCCATGAAATGAAACAACATCTCATGCCCAATCGTTCAATGCCTCCCCCCCCCACACGTACATCGAGGTACTGACTGGCGTCAGGTCCCAGCCCCACCGTGACCGCCGCCAGCCCTATGAGACCCCCCTGCGGCCATGGTCAAGAGGAGAAGGAGAGAGTGGGGGAAGAAGGGGAAAAGGCATTGCGCTGGGAGGTTTGGTTTAGTTGATGTGCGCGAGAATGGGGGCAGGGCAGTAGCAGTAGCTTGTTGGTAGATTGGAGGGTAGAGCAATTCGTCCGCGCCCCTCCTTGCTCCCTCCGTGTCCCCTCTGCCACCCACCTTTCTCTGGTTCGGCTGTGCTGACGTGGCGTAATCATTGGCCAGCAGGGAAATGATTGCGTTGATCCGCTCATCGTTGCCCTCTGCTACAGCCGCCTTCACTGCCGTCTCGATCTGCACAACTCATGTAACACAATGGGGGGAACGGGAGGTGGGGCAAAGCGGGGTGAGGGGAAGAGAGTGAGGAAAGTGAAGTTGATTCTCTCATCGTTCCCCTCTGCTACAGCCGCCTTCACTGCTGTCTCGATCTGCACACACAGCACATGTCGCACAATGGGGGAGGACCCGGCCGGACGAGGTGCTGAGTGGCAGGTGTCACACAGCACTCTCTCGGATGGGAAAAACAGAAAGTGGCCGAGAGATGTAACGAGAAAAAGGCGTTGTTTCTCCCCTGCTCCCGTTACCCCTTCTTTCCCCTCCCCTACTGTCCGCGCACCTCGAGCGCGGCCGCCTTGCGCTTGTCGTAGAGTTTGTCGGAGAGGTTGCGCAGCACCTGCGCGGGGAGCAGCGCTGCGCCATCGATCATCCTGACGGACGGCTAGATGCGTCGCTAAAATGCTAGGACGTATGCCGTTAACAACACGTCCTCCTCAACGTCAGGCAACCGTCGCGCCGCCTGCCGCTTCGAAACTAAACAGATCACTTCATATATTAGCCTTCTACGCATTCCAAGTTACCACAACGTTGTAACGTGGGTTCGCCTCGCAAGGCATTTTGAAACGCCGCGTCGTTGTGGATCGTGGAACGACCAATCCGAACTTGCGGACTTGGGTTCCCTTCACGCCATTTTGTCATTGCTGGCGGTTTCGTCGGGGCCTGAAAACGACACTTTGATGAAACGCGAGCAAGCTTCAAGTGGCGACTACAAGGCGCGTGAGTTCTCGCGAAAGTGATCTCCAAGGGTCAGCTCAGCTTCGCGAAGATTTAACAGGCTTCGCCAGGGGCATGCGGCACTGGTAAGGAATAACGTAACAGAACCGAGACGCCACTCCTTGTCATGCGGGATAGGTCCCTAGACAGAACCTCATGCTCGTTTGTAATTCATCTCCCTTAAGTGTCTGTATTAGGTCTACCATTCAAGCAGAAAACTAGTCTTATTGCAATTCTAATGAACCACGTTGCCATTGCAATAACAGAAAGCAAGCTTTCTCAATGTGTCACATACCGTAGCACTAATAGAAAACAGAGCGCTTTTGGCAGGGCCCAGAAACACAAAACAATTCTTCTAACATGCCTTACAAGCTTTTCTACAGTTCCCAGAGTACGCCCCATCCCCAAGCATATACGCCGGGTTCTTTTTACACTCGCCTAGCGCCGCCCACTCCTCACATTTAGGGTTCAAATCCTCACAGCCATGTGCCAAGGGCCGCGCCTCAAAGGAGCGCACGTGGATCCACTTGGTTGCCGACCACTTCTCCCCGCGGATGACGGGACAGCTGGCGTGCAATGATGACTGGTCCGTGGTGCCGTCCGGGTGGAGGGAGTAGAAGAGCAGCGCGTCGCCCTTTTGAGGCTTGACTGACAAGCGGAGGGGAGGGGTCGAGGGGAGGGTGGGAAAGAGGGGGGGAGGGGGAGGGAGGGAAGTGAAATGGGGGGGTGATGGAAGAGGAGGGGGTGCAGAAGTCATTAGGAGAGGACGTGCGATGATGACTGGTCCATGGTGCCATCTGGGTGAAGGGAGTAGAAGAGGAGAGCATTTACCCTCTGAGGCTTGACTGGTGGCAGAGAGAGGGTGGGAGAGCAGGCAGGGGGAACAGGGAGAACGGTGGAGGGGGGGAGGGGGGGGGGTGCAGATCAATTGGGACAGGTGGCGTGCAATGATGGCTGGTCGGTGGTGCCGTCCGGGTGCAGCGAATAGAACAAACAGTGCGTCGCCCTTTTGAGGCTTGACTGGTGGGAAAGATAGGAGGGGAGAAGGTGAGAAGGCAGTGGGGGAAGAAAGAGGGGAGGATGGAGAGGGCAGTGGGAGACAGCATGTGGCGATGACTGGTCAGTGGTGACCCGCACACACCCACACACACCCATACACACCCACACACACCCACACACACCCACACACACCCACACACACCCACACACACCCACACACACCCACACACACCCACACACACCCACACACACCCACACACACCCACACACACCCACACACACCCGAACACACCCGCACACACCCACACACACCCACACACACCCTCACACACCCACACACACCCACACACACCCGAACACACCCGCACACACCTGCACATGCAAGTCCACCCCTTACCAGCACCCCATACTAGCACCTCCCTGCGAGCACACGCACCTGCCAGACCTCTGTTCGCACATTCAGACGCTGTGGCGTCCGTGGGAGGCCTAGGCTGTGCAGTGAGGGGGCATAGAAAGGGAGGAGAGGGGCGAGGAGTTAGACAAAGTGGGGGGGCAGGCCTGCCTGCACACAGTCAGATCCAGTGACGGCCATTGTAGGCAGGCCTGTGTGCAGTCAGGCCAGGTTTTAAACTTCCCAAGAATCAGCCCTGTGTGCCCCAGTCAGATTCAGTAAAGCGTGTTTTTTGAGAATTCTCAAAACGTGTTTTTTGAGTGTGTTTTTTGAGAATTCTCAAAAAACACGCCCTGTGTGCCCCAGTCAGATTCAGTAACTCCTATAGCAGGCCTAGGCTGGGCCGCAAGGGGGGGAGTGAGGAAGGGCACATGTGGGGGAGCGGGGAAGGGCAGATGTGGGGGAGTGCGGAGAGGAGCAGGGGAGAGGGGAGAGGAGCAGGGTAGTTAGAGGGAGTGTGGGGGCAAGCTTGTGCGTGCGCAGCCAGGCATGGTGAGGTCCATGGGAGACCTGGGCTGGGCGGTGAGATATGGGTGGGGATAGATAATTGGGCATGTGGAGGGGGATGGGAGAGGAATAGGGGGTGAACAGATAGTGAAGGGACAGTGGGAAGGAGGAGAGGAGTGAAGAGAGAGAGGGAGTGAGAGAGGGGTGAGGAGGCGAGGGGTGAGGTGAAAGTGGGGAGGGAAATAAACACCCACAGTATGAAAAGCAGCATCAATCACCTCGCTACCTAATGTTCGCACATTCCCTTCACATGCCTGCATGCATGCTCACACACACACACACACACACACACACACACACACACACACACACACACATCCATCCCCGCAGTCGCCTCAACACTACCAAGCCACCTGCCCACCAGGAATGACCCCACCTTTATCCAGACTGGCTGAATACATCAGCAGAGTCGCCAACCTGTGTTCTGAGACGCCTCAAATTCTTGATTATTAAGACGTCTCAAATACTTGTTTCTTGATACGTCTCAAAAGCCACCTGCCCACCAGGAATGATGAAACACGGTCTCCCCTCCCTCCTCCACGGTGGTCAAATACACCCGTGCACAACGAGCACCCGTGAACCACTCCTCCTACACGAGCACCCGTGAACCACTCCTCCTACACGAGCACCCGTGAACCACTCCTCCTACACGAGCACGGAGGCCACCCGGTGGCCACCCATCTGCGTGTGTTTACATGCCTAGCCCCTCTCACACTCCCACCCACCCAATGAACCACTCAAGTCACACACACACGCACACACACACACACATCTGTGAACTGGGAACCACCGTCTCCCCTCCTTCCTCCACCGTGGTGAGAAACAAGTGCACCGTTGTCACTATGTGCACACCCATCTGAGAGATGACACACCCATCTGAGAGATGACACACCCATCTGAGAGATGACACACCCATCTGAGAGATGACACACCCATCTGAGAGATGACACACCCATCTGAGAGATGACACACCCATCTGAGAGATGACACACCCATCTGAGAGATGACACACCCATCTGAGAGATGACACACCCATCTGAGAGATGACACACCCATCTGAGAGATGACACACCCATCTGAGAGATGACACACCCATCTGAGAGATGACACACCCATCTGAGAGATGACACACCCATCTGAGAGATGACACACCCATCTGAGAGATGACACACCCACCCCTGCTGTCCCATAATACCAACTAACCACCAACCACCAATACCACACGAGGCAATGAACACACACCTGTGAACTGGGAAACATGGTCTCTCCCCCCTCTTCCACCGTGGTCAGGTACATGAGCACCGTTGCAACCCTATGACCGGCCATCTGTGTGTTTACATGCATACCCCCATACCGGTACCAACATGAACACAACGGCACACGAGGTGCCACTAATCCAGGTGCCCCCAACGGCACACGAGGCACACTGAAACGGCACCAGAAGATCATCTGCGCATTGGGAAAGACGGTCTCCCCTCCTGCCTCCACACTTGTCAGATACATGTGCACCGTCGCCATCCATGGCTGTCCGACCATGTGTTGACACACCCACCCCTGTTACCACATTGTACATACCTGCGCATTGGGAAACACCGTCTCCCCTCCTGCCTCCACCGTGGTCAAGTACATGAGCACCGTCGCCACCCTGTGACCGCCCATCTGTGTGTTGACTGAGTCAAAGAAATAGTCAAAGTGGGCCTCGTACTTCTGCCCGATCTCGTACTTTAGTATTTGAATCGCTTCGCCGTGCTCTGGCGGACAGGAGAAAGGGGAAAAAAGAAAGCGACATGAGAGAAGAAAGCAAAGGCATCAAGGCATGTGTTCGTACTTCTGTCCGGTCTCGTACTTGAGGATCTGACCGGCTTCACCGTGCTCTGATGCGGCACACGGGGAGGGAGGGAGAGCATCAACGAGTGATAGTCAAAGTGAGCGTTGTCCATCCACCTGTTCTGGAGGATCTGAATGGCCTTGCCATGCTCTGGTGATAGAGAGGAGGGGCGCTCTTGGGGTGGAATACGTGCGCACCTCTATGCGCCTTGCCATGCTCCTCGATGCGCTTCACCATGTCATCCTGGTACTTGTTCAGAAACGCGCCTGAGCTGGCGCAGTTACAGCAGGGAGGAGGGGTACTGTTGTAGAGCAAGCATACCTTCTGGGGCGGAGGGGTACCTTTGGGGAGGAAGGTCCATGCTGCAATGCGCTCCTCTATGCGCTTCACAATGTCGTCCTGATACTTGTTGAGAAATGTGCCTGAGCTCGTGCGGATCTCACTCAACACGCTCTTGCCCGACTCGTTGTCCGCCACTGATGAGCGAGATACCTTGTCGCGCGCCTAGGAGGGAGGAAGGGAGGGTAGAGGTGGGAGGGATGTGGGGGGGGTGTGTGGGGAAAGGGAGGGATTGTTGATTTTTTAGGTGCCTCTAAAGTCGAGTTGTGCCCCCGACTAGTTGTCCGCTCCGCCATGAACGACTGTGTTACATTGTTGCGGGCCTCATGGAACAAGGGGGTGGGTGGGAACAAGGGGCCAGAGATTTGTGACTAAAACGAGGGAGAAAGGACAGGGTGCGCCGTTGCCTTGCCTGGCACAGATGACCGCGTCACCTTGAGCAGCAGCGTTTTGAGACGTGCAAGTGAGGGGGGGTTGAGCCGCGGCAAAGGAGTGAGGGGGAGCGAAGGGAAAGAGAGGCTTACAAGGGTGATGAGATGGTCGCACTCGTCGTGGGAGAGAAATCCCGAGTACAGGAAGGCCCTGCGTGGACGGCATTGGGCGGCATTGGGTGGCAATGCGTGGCAGCAGTGGTGTGGCATTGGGCGGCATTGTGTGGTGGCAGTGATGTAGCATTCATGGCATCCCAAAAAGGGAAGATAAAATGAAACGTAACATTAGTGTCAATCCTAAGCGTATGCTCTGTTGTAATTTCATATTTCATACAACATACATAGGCTAGAATTAGATGTGTAGCATATTCATACATTGGGGGGTTGTTTAGTGTACCCTCCAACCACATTTTGTGGTTGGTTGGGATTGGTCCTTAGCTCAACCAATCCCAACCAGCACACATATGTGGTTGCTTGGGCCACAAGCAAGCTCACCCATTGGCCAACTTATTGGCCAATAGGGTAAGCTTCCCTCTCATCTCTCACTTGCTCATTGTTTGTACCAAAGGGCCTCTTGGGTCATTACTCAATGCATCAATTTTATTTTTTCAACATGCTCTTCAGACAGTTCAAGTCAATTGCAAGCTGGATGGCATGTGTGTCGTGCTGCATTGAACTGAATGCGTGCAGCAGCACACTCTGACTGAACTGAATGCGTGCAGCAGCACACTCTGACTGAACTGAATGCGTGCAGCAGCACACTCTGACTGAACTGAATGCGCGCAGCAGCACACTCTGACTGAACTGAATGCGCGCAGCAGCACACTCTGACTGAACTGAATGCGTGCAGCAGCACACTCTGACTGAACTGAATGCGTGCAGCAGTACACTCTGACTGAACTGAATGCGTGCAGCAGCACACTCTGACTGAACTGAATGCATGCAGCAGCACACTCTGACTGAACTGAATGCGTGCAGCAGCACACTCTGACTGAACTGAATGCGCGCAGCAGCACACTCTGACTGAACTGAATGCGTGCAGCAGCACACTCTGACTGAAATGAATGCGTGCAGCAGCACACTCTGACTGAACTGAATGCGTGCAGCAGCACACTCTGACTGAACTGAATGCGTGCAGCAGCACACTCTGACTGAACTGAATGCGTGCAGCAGCACACTCTGACTGAACTGAATGCGCGCAGCAGCACACTCTGACTGAACTGAATGCGTGCAGCAGCACACTCTGACTGAACTGAATGCGTGCAGCAGCACACTCTGACTGAACTGAATGCGTGCAGCAGCACACTCTGACTGAACTGAATGTGCGCAGCAGCACACTCTGACTGAACTGAATGCGTGCAGCAGCACACTCTGACTGAACTGGAGGGAAGAGCGAAAGCGAAGACAGAGCATCAAATACGGAGAAACAATACTCTCACCTCACACCTCATCCCACCTTGCTCGCCCCCCACTTCCCCTTCCCTTCATTCCTCAAACACCACTCTGCCCTCACTCCCCTCCACTCACACTCCCTTGGTTCTCATCAGCCCTCCCCACACCTCACCTGGGCTGCCACGACAGGCGGGTGATGCGAGAGGGATCAATGGGAATGCCTGGTCCTGCTTGCAGAGTCGTAGCGTTCCCATCCTCATGCTTCTGAAGTTTATTATCACCTGAAGCGATGAGTCTGCCATGGGATGATGCATGGGAGTGGCATGTCGGATTAGGATGCGGTGACGAGTGGTGTGCGGGTGGTGTGACCATGGTGTGAGAGGGTGGTGAGGAGTTGTGTGAGGATGGAATAAGGGTGGTGAAGAGTGGGAGGGAAAGGAGTAAGGAGTGAGCATCAGATGGCAGAAATATGTGCATGCGATATGATGGGGCAAGCTATGATGATAGTCTGGTGAGTGATGGTGCCAGGTGATTCATGGTGGTGATGTCATGGTGATGTCATGGTGGTGGCATGGTTTTAACTATGTGCTCATAAAATCAGGTAACCTTCCAGCCATTTACATACAGCACTGTCTTTCCCCAGCATTCACCCACACAGCAGCCCGCGCCATGTAGCAACCACCAGCCTCTGTTCCCTCCCCCCCTTCCATGCCACCCCTCCCCCCCCCTTTCCCCATCTCCCCCCTTCCCCATCCATCCGCCCATCCTCTTTCTCACCCGGACCCTTCCCTCCCCACATTCGAGACGTCTCAAATCTCTTTTGAGACGTTTTGAGACGTCTTAAAACTCTCCCCTCCCCACATTCCAACGTCTAACTTCCGCCGTCGAATTCAGTGCTCGGCTCCTTCCACCTCGCGCACTCGCCCTTGGTTTCTAAATCAGCTGCAATCGCGTCGCGGCCCCTCCCCTCAAGTGCGACGTTTCTAGCGTTTCGAGTGGCGCATGCTGTCGCCTAAACGACAAAGAAACAAGCAATCTACTATCGTTACCTCTTCTGCGAGTTGAAAGTGGACTCTGCGACGGTCTGCGACACGGCGAGCGACAGCGCGAGGAGCGACGCGACAAGAACCACAATTGCTTGAAGGTGCGAGTCCCGACGAGGCAAATTTCCCGACATGGCTGCTGGCTGAAGCGGGGGGAGACTGGAAAGGATATACATAATTTCGAGGGCTACATCGAAAGGCTTTCAGGTGCAGGTTCAGCTGCACGTGCAGGCCGGGCTCAGGGGTAAGAGAGGTGCGAAACTATGTGGGATGTGTTGTTCCGACAACTAATGCGTTGTGGCTAATGTCCTCGTTATGCGGCCATGCATCAATACAAGGTTTCAGGGGGTACTATGTAAATCAAGAATTGCAAGATGCTAGGTGTTTCAGCATTTCCGAAATTCGCTTATTGAGCAAAGCTCACATGTTTTATGATTTTAAGAATGTTCGTAATATCGGATCTGCTAGTAAGAAAACATTTATATTTTGGTCGGCCGACTTTTCTGGTGGGGCGGAGTGCACTGATTGGATGCTCCGCTCCACACTCGGGACAGCTAGCGACGCGCAACACTCTAGCAATCGCCTCCTGCGGCTCGGCTGCCTGCCTGCTTGCCAGCAATGCCATAGCACATCAGGCCTTCGCACGGACCTGTTTGATCCGAGTACCGCACAAAAGCATACTCTATCTTACTCGAACCCTTTGTACGGTGGTAAAACTCAAAAGGAAAGCATTCGTGACTGACCACACCCATCCATACCATACTTGTTCGCAGGCACACTGTCCCCCTTTCCAGCTTTGTTTGATCAGGCCACACTCACCGCCATGGGCGCAGTCGAGGGATATAAACGGGTCTGCTTTCATTCCGCATCGCCATCACAATTATCGGTCTGCTCGCGCTCTTCCGCTCGTAATCACGGATTTTTTTCCCCCGTCAAAAGCAGCCGTGCATACACACGCACCCTGTGCTCAGCTGCTCCACAAATTCACGCGCAAATCCCGAGAGTCCTTGAGAAAAATCAAAACGGCTTTTACAGAATCTGTACGGGAAAAGCAATTTTCCCCGCCACTCGTGGTTAGTATGAGTTGCAATTAATCGACTCAAAAGGCTTAGTACGCGCAGCTAACACAGAAGGGTTCCAAGATTCTTGCTTTTGTCGTCATTTCAGCCGGCGCCCCGTCCCGCGACGTGAAGTCTATCACTCTCTAAAGGCCAAAATGACCGGCCTTACGGTTGGACACTGTAGCAGAGGAATTAATATGAATTCTACACTTCTGCTCATGCTGTTGGCTTGCGTGTTCGCGATACAAGCGGCGCCGTTAGGAGGCCGGCGCGGAATGACGGGGAAGCTGCAGCAAGAGCAGGAGTACATCGAAATGCCGCAAGACGACGACAACTCGGGGCGCGCCAACGAGCTGCCTTCCTTCGAGCGGTCCATGGAGCTATATCGCGTACGATTGATCCCCCTCATCCTCGCCGTCGAAATTGATAGACGGCTTTCTGCGTCGTCGGCAACATGCATTAAAAAATATAGGGATCAAGAAATTACGATGCAGTCGTGCATTGGCAGTAGTGTACGCGGTAGTTGATGATCCCTCTCTTACCCTTCCCATCCCTTCAAAGGGAAGTTCCCCTCCCTACCCACGCCCCTTTGCCTCGCCTATCCTCCCCATCCCCTCCCTCTTTCCTTCCCATCCACTCCCCTTCCCTCCCCTTCCCTCCTTACCTCCCCCTCCCCTCCCCTTTCCTTCCCATTCCCCTCTCGCGTCCTCTGCCCGCCAGGCTTGGGAGCGGGTCTACGGCCTCGCGGACTTTTCAGAATTCTCAAAAGTCGCCTCCCTCCCCCCGCCCCTCCCCTCCCACAATCTCCTCTCCGCCAGGCCTGGGAGCGGGTCTACGGCCTAGCGGACCCTGCGCAGCCGCCTGCGCGCATCGCCCTGCCGCCCAACGTGCCGCGCGCGCCGCACCTCGAGGACTGCTCGGAGCGCAGCGCGTTCCGCCGGCAGACAGAGGCGCACGGAGCGCATGGGGAGGCGCCAGCATGGACCAGCGCGCCGAAAGGGTGCCGCTACCCGCAACCGCCTTGGGTGCGCGGATCGGACGCCGCCAATCTTGCCGCCACGCGCCAGGCGCAGGCCGACATCTGGCTGCACCAGTTCCCTGCGCCCCCGCCTTCCGCATCAGCGCAAGCCGCCAAGGGGGAGTGCGGCGGGCGGCGCCTGCTGGTGGTGCCGTGGCCGAACCGCAGAAATGGCATCGGGTCGCAGATTCACATCATGAGCGCGTGGCTGAACCACGCCCTGTCGCACGATCGCATTCTCGTCCCCATGCCCGGGTCATTCGAGCGCGCCAACCATTCCCACTGCACTGGTAAGGCGATGCACTGTAAGGAGGGCTGGGCTGGTAAGGACTCGCCCTGTCGCCGCACGATTGCATTCTCGTCCCCACGCCCGGGTCATTCGCCCGCGCCAACCACTCTCACTGCGCCGGTACGCTCTCGGAAACACCCTGCATCATACCGTCACGCACATCTTCATACGTCTTTGCTCCGTGTGTCTCTCACCTGTTCCCCATTCCTCTTTTCTCTCCTGCCACTTCTTCCCGCTCGTCTCTCCCTCATCGCACAGTTACCTTTGTTTGCTCGCAGATTGCGATTTGTCTTCCTGCTCCTGTGACAAGACATTCTCTGCTCCAGTAACCCTGGTAACCGTGACTCACCACAACAACTTGTGTGCTTTTTGCCCTCCCAATCCCTCCCCATCTCCTCCCAGGCGCTGATCAAGGTTCCTTCTCCTGCTACTTCTTCCCCCTCGTCGCCCCCTCGTGCGACGAAGCCGCACTCGAAGCCATAGCAGCCGTCGCAGCAGCAGGGCCAGCAGGGAAGGGCGGGGTGCGGGAGGTGGTGGCGCGGGGAGGGGTGAGCGTGCTGGCTACAAGTCCCGCGGGCATGGGCGCAGAGGAGATGGCAGCGGTACTGGCGTCCGACGCGCGCGTTCTGCTCTTCACTGAGTCTACTTTTCCCCCGCATTCCACCGCGCTTGCTGCTAGGTGAGACTCTTGAGGCACCTTGAGAGTAGGCGGCAATGCTGGGAGCACAGGCAACGCTAATGGCGTCCGACGCGCGCATTCTGCTCTTCATTGAATCGACTTTTCCTCCGCATTCCACGGCGCTGGCTGCTAGGTGAGAGAGAGGTTGCATCGGAGGGGGGAGAGGGGGTGGATGGGAAGTGGTGGTGATTGGAGGTGGGGTTGGGTGAGCGTGGCGGCTATGACTCCCCCAAGGGAACGGGCGCAGAGGAGATGGCGGCGGTACTGGCATCCGACGCGCGCGTTCTGCTCTTCACCGAGTCTACGTTCCCCCCGCATGACACCGCGCTTGCTGCCAGGTGAGAGAGATTGCATTGGAGGGGGGGTGGGGTGAGCGTGCTGGCTACGAGTCTCAAGGGCATGGGCGGAGAGGGGATGGAGGCGCTGATGGGGTCTGACAGGCGCGTTCTGCTCTCCACTGAGTCGACCTTTCCGCCCTTTCCGCCCCATGCCACGGCGCTAGCTGCCCGGGGAGACTCTTGAGGCAACAGGCATCTGATTCAGGCATCTGGTCCCTCACAATCCAGTACCCCCTGCATTGCACGGTGCATACTGCCAGATGACAGAGAGGGGGGCACGGCAATTCTAGAGAGAAGGGGGCACACGGAGGGGCCGTTCAAACTCTCTCACCTGCGCCTGTTCTAAACCCCGTCCTTTCCATCCCCATCTCCCTCCCATCAGGCGGTGGGTCACAGCGTTTCTGGAGAGCAGGGGGGACACGGAGGCAATGTGGAGGCTCACTCTCTCGTCTCTCACCTGCGCCTCTCCAACCCCTCCCCTCCTCCCATCTCTCTCACACCAGGCGGTGGGGCACAGCATATCTGGAGAGCAGGGGGGACACGGAGGTGATGGGGCGGGTGCGCGTGGAGAACCCTCCGTACCTGCAGGTGCA